CATTCTGGTGGAGTACTGGAGTCTACCAGCAAGTGATTGGCAGTCAATTTAGTGGGTCTTCACTAGGTCTGCTAACTCGATCCCCACTGGATTGATTGTCAATTCACCCTATTAGAAGGATGTTAAATTGAGGTTACCTAGTTAATCATATAGCTATACGATTAGTTGATAAGGTCAGCTCTGCAAAGCTACAGCGGGGGTTGCTCCAGGAGCTGGTTTAAGCTGGGACCAGCCAGTCCTGGCTCGTGCCAGCTCCTGGAGCCATCTGCTTTATGGCTCTGCATTTTAAATGTAACAAGAGGTGCCAGGCTCTTACTACCTTTAAAATGCAGAGGCACAGTATCCCGGACCAGCATGAGCCAGGACTGCTTGGTCCCAGCTCAAGCTGAGTTCAGCAGCCCCTGTTGGTGGCTGGATAGAGACAGCAGGAGGTGGGGAGGCGGCACTCCAGAGACGGTGCTGGGAGATACCGGCTTTTAAGCTGTTCCCCCCCCAGCATCAGCTCCTGTTCTCCCTCCCCCCTCCTCCCGTCCCGCCTTGCTGTGTCTCATGCCTACCCTGTGCTCCCTGCTGCCCTTCTCCAGGACTCTTGTACATTTCAAAAGCTGAAGCACCAGCAGTGGGAACTGGTGCAAGCAGGGACTAAAGCAATCCCTGGTCGCACTGTTTTCCCCCCGTGCCTCTGCTTCCGCTGCGTCTGCGGAGACGGTTCTTCCCAGCACCGACCCCTGCTCCTCCCTCCCTTCCTGCCTCATTCTGATACAGAGGCAGCAAGCGGGAGGGTGGGGATGGCAAGTGACTAGTTTACTAGTTGCTTATATCCTTACCTCCTAGTGGAGACATAGCCTAAGGCATAGAGAAATGAAAGCCACCATTTCCAAAAATGTCCACTAAAACCAAATGCCTACAAACTGAGCATCTGAAACTCCAGCTAGAGTCAGTTGGTGCTGCAGGTGCATGTGGTGAGACTCAGAATAGATACATCAAGCTGGGCATCCAAAGTTAGTGGACATGCTAAAATCAAATGGGCCAAGGTGATTTGCCCAAGGACATGTGCTTTGGTAGCAGAGCTTGGCAGAGGATCTTAGTCTCCTGACTTCCATTTATAAATGTTTATATAATTACAGGAATTATATTAATTTGAAAGTTGCTGTATGTTTGCATTGCAGTTCATATTGAAATCTTAGCCTTTTGTTAATAGCAACTTTACTCTGTCTGTTTTTTAATTTTCATTTGATATGAAAATTGACAATTTTGATAGTTTTGTGCCTACATGGTTTAATGGGTGTCACCATTCTGAAATAGAATTCATCATGGCAGTATGAAGGAGCCAGTGGGGCTGACAGCCACTGTGGGCCCAGGTGCAAAGTGTGTGGAGGGCCTGGCTCCCTGCCCTTGGAAGGGGCGGGACTTGAGGGTGGAAGGGACAGGATCAAGAGCAGTCAGCCCGCAGAGCAGTGCTCTGGTGCTCCTGTGATAATTGAAAGGGGCCCAGGGTTCTGGCTGCTACCACTGCCGCAGTAGTAGAACCTAGTAGCTCTGGGGCCCTTTGAATCTCTGGGCCTCAGAGCAACTTCCCCCACCCCTCCACTCTCCATCCGCAGGCTTGGAAGAAGCAGATGCTGATGACAAGCTCTGCTGTTGCACTTGTGCTACTTCATTTTTCATTTGTGAGCTCCCTGCCACAGGTCACTCACGTGGGAAGAAATGATGCTTTTGATGCTAGAAACAGGTGGATAGGGCGGGCCCGAGGGCAGTCAGCCCGTAGCACCACCCAGACCATGGTGTGTCTTCCCCCCCTCAGAGCTGTGTGGTATGAACAGATGGGGGGCTGTTGACTCTGGGACCCAGTTGTATCTTGAGGAAGAGGGGTCTCTCTCGAAGACCTCTAAGGGTATGTCTGCACTACATGCTAAGCCTGGGCTCTGACCTACATTGGAGCCTGAGCCCTCTTGCTGTCCATGCTGTCTGACTCGGGTCAGTTAGCACTAGTGACTTGTCCAAGCAGAGTCATTTTGTCATCTGGACACGGGTCAAGCCACAGACCTGTCAAGTACAGTATAGATGCGTTTACATTGCTGTGAGGTCTATGCCCAGCCATTCCAAATCCAGGGTTAAATGCGGCATGGCTGCTCACATGGACTTGGACATACTGAGTCCACAAGCTTAGGTCTCTCAGAGCTGAGATCAGTATGGACATCCCCTGAGAGTCATTTTGAACTAAATAACTCTTGGTAATAAATTGGGCATATTCGACAGGGGAGCTCAGCTGCCATACTTAGGCAATTTTAACCCTTCTTCCTCCTGCCGCCTCCGCAGCCAGAGAGATAAGCTCTCTGGAACTTAGCCTTATCTTCCAGGTGAGGACCTGGGGCTTATCCTCATTAGGGCCTGTTGAAACCTGAGCATTGGTGTATTCCCTTCCATCTTTTTTCACGGGTGACATCATTTGCCTGTCTTCTCTGACATGGTGGCAGCACAGCTGACTGAGGAATAACACATCACCTTATGCCTTCAGGAAAAATGATTCTGTCTATATAATGCAAAACATTAGGCTGAGTCCTGCTTGCTTTGCTCACAGAGGTTGTTCCATTCAATGTGAGTTGAGGAAATATCTTCAACCAGGATTTGCCTAGTTGTTCTAAATGGATGAAGCTGTGATGGAGTGTGGTGGATCTGGTTTGAGTGTGGTGCCTGAAGACTTTTTTTTTTTTTTTTTATCGGACTTCATGGAGGTAGACATGATCTTTGTATCTTTCATCATTAGTCTAACTTTTGATGAACAATTTACTTTCCCCCAAATCCCTATTTTGGGAACCTGTAAAGTCTTTGCATTTGTGTCTTTTTTAAATGGATAGCTATATTATGATGGCAAACTTCAGTGTTTGTTTGTTTTATTACTTATTTTTAAACAGCCTGTTTAAAAGCCACATATCTGAAACTGATTGGGGGAGGGAAGAAGTTTTTCAGAGTCCTTATAGTATTTCCAGATGCTGTTATGCTTTTCATGGTTTTCTGAAAGGTGTAGTACTATACCAGGCTTGCGGGAAGTAGTTTTTTCATAGACAACAGTCATTTTATAGTATATGGAGATCTGCAAAAGAACTGTTTGGGGGTATGTCTACACTTACGTCCACACTGCAATTGTGTCGAAAGAATGCAGGGGTTTTTCTGACCATGATAAACCTCTTTCTATGAGAGCGAAGCCTTTTTCCGAAAGAGCTCTTTCAGAAAAAAGGTGTGTATGGACGGGGAAGAGGGTATTTTTTTTGAAAGAGGCGGCCTTCAGGAAAAAGCACAGTTGCTCTGGTAGCCACTCCATCCACAGTAACCACAACGTAAAGGCAAGAGAGCATCCAATCAATGTGGATGCTATCTTTTGGAAAAGCACATTGCTTTTTTGTTGCGCTTTTGCTGTGTAGACGCTGTCTTTTGGAAAAAGTTTTTCCAGAAAATCTCTTCCAGAAAAGCTTCTTCCGAAAGAAGACTGTAGTCTAGATGTAGCCTGAAATGGCTGATAACTGACACAGGTTAAGTAACGCTGAGAGTAGCGTCCTGCTGCCATTAAAGTCGGTGGCAAAAAGAATCTGACTTTGAAACTTATTCATGAACTGATTTTGTCCACAGATGCTTTCACAAAGGAAGGCCCTTTCTGCTGCTTTGTGAATGCCCTCCCCCAATTCAATTTTCCATTTGATTTATCTGATTTTTTTTAAATGCTCCCAGCCTAGTGCACCTGGTCTGAGCATGTAAACATAGATTACCAGCCATACACATTCTGTTGCTATTGCAGACTGAAACTAAATCAAATATAAATCCCAGATGCAGATATCTACTAAAATAACACATTTTCCACTGCTGCTCTAGTTCTGATTGCAGTATTGTTGGTACCCTTATCTGCTAATAAGAAAAAAAGAATCTATTTATCTCTATTTGAATTTTTGGTGTAGCTGTAAGCAGCCAGTGCAACTTCCTTTTGCCTTCTCCTGTATAATTCTAAGAACCTTATCTGCTGTGTCCTTAAGTCTTCCCTGGTTTAACAGCCTAAGAGCAGCTATAAAAGGGGCTTTCACTAACGAACAGGAAGCAGAATGAATAGCAGGAACTTCTGATAATGTACTGTCTGTTTGAGAGGAAGATCGGCCTAACTAAGCTGTACCAAAGTAGTGAATGATGTGCCTTCAGATAGGATCAGACGTGCAAATTTTAATACTGGAAACAAATAATTCTCCCTCTTCAACTAATGGTTAAAACAGCCTTGTCACTGTAGTGGCCAAATACCATCCAACTCATCTAGGTTATTTACTTTCTCTTTATTGTTCATAGTGAGTACAAGCAAGCCTCTGATTGTGTGTGCGTGTGTGCACGCACCTTTTCTCTTTTGGAAGAGCTACTATAGCCACCAATGCTGCCTTCCTGATGCCTGCTTCAATTCGACTGCATTTTATGTCTCTCAGACTGCAAGGTTCCACATACTGAACAGAACATTGGGCCTTTCTATGTTTCTGTTGGAATTTCAGCCTGAGAGTGTCTGAATATTTGTAATGACCAACAGATTTGATTCTCACCTCCCTCCCCCCTTGCCAGGCTATGTGGCTGCCTGTTTATTGTTTTCTCCCCACTTATTGATGAGCACTGCTGGCTTGTTTTAAAAAAAAAAAAAAAAAAAAAAAAAAAGCCAGTAACTAGAGTCTGAACAGGGCAGTGACATAGCTTAGCTGCATGCTTTGGTAATGGTTTTCTACTGTTACACTAGCGTTATGTCAGCAAACTTCCATTGATGTCTGTGGACTTGCACTGGTATGAAACTCATTTAATGCATTGTCAGAGCAGGGCCTTTATTACTGACATGCTGGCTTTCTGAATAGTGCCTTTTCCACTGCTTAGTCTGCTTGAAAGGTATCATAATGGAGTGATTTCTTTTAAGCTTTTTGTGTTGTCACTTTTGGGCATGTGAAATTAAAAATTAATCATTTGTGGCCCTTTTCTGTCTCTTTCAGGTCTTTCTCTTGGATTTTAATATCAGAAACTCTCTCTGAAGAGAACTTTACTTAGGTAAGTGAAACAAGATTATTTTTTGTATTTACAGATTCACGTTTCATGTTTTTCTTTTATGGCTTGTTTTATTGTAATTGTAAGCTGCCAGCTGGCTGTCCATGTGAGCTGTAGCTAAATAAGTCTAGAGATATGCATGAAACATAAGTAGGATAATGCCTGTGGTACAATTTAGGGGAGTGATATTTTAATTTTTTTTCTTATCTGGAAAATGTTCTTTATGTAATCAACTAAAAAGGATTGAGTTGCAGAATAGAGAGATTTAGCACAATAACTATTTACAAAGGGATAATTGATCAGAGATATCAGTTAGCACAATAACTGTTTACAAAGGGATAATTGATCAGAGATATGCCAGATTTCTGAGAGAAGAAGGAAGTAATGAGATGGCACGGGACCTAATTTTCATTGTGAAAACTCAGTCCTGATTTGCAAAATGGGGCCACGTTTTCCAGGTGAACCACTTTTCTTCTCCAAAAAAGACTGTTTAGTGTTGAGGACAAATCCTATGGAACTTGACAAGCTTGATTTTTTTTTTTTTTTTTAATACAGAACTTGGCAAAGCTCAGCAATTTAACTTTGAATCTCTGGATTCATTCAAGCAGAAAACAATAAAATTCCAGTATACCCTGCAACAATGCAAACCAGTATACCCTGTAACAATGCAAACCAGTGTATTCTACATCATATCCCTGTTGAACTATGAAGACACTGTCCCTGTTCTTGTTTTTATGGGTGCTCCTGGTTGATTTCAGTCAGAATTCAGGGTTATAGTTATCTAGTTTTTTAAAGTATTCTGAACAAATTCTGTTTTCCTTCTATTGAGTGATAAAGGTTTGTTGTCGTGAGCCAGACATGGGGGTTTACTGCTGCAATGCCCACTGTATAGGCAGGAGGGCTTCTAGAACATAGATTTGCTAATATACCTCAAGACTGACCTGTACCAATGTACTTTTCTGGTCTTTTTATCCTGGAGAGTGTCAGGCTGTCAAACATGCAGGGTGCATTGTTGCCCCAGGTATACAGGTGTCACTTTAGGATGAGAGAGGGGCTTGTTTCAAATCTTAGATAAGTTCTTGCAGGTATTGGAAAAATTTGCATATGTTCTGAATTGAGTAAGTTCTGCATATTCATGTCTTCAGGTGCTCAGATACTGCAGTGCTGGGGGCTACTTAAACCCTGAGGTAGACTTTTCTTTTCTTTTTTTTCCTTTAAAGTGTCTGAGGTTTTTCCTTCATTACCCTTGCTTCTGCTGCTGCCATCTTTGGTCCTCACTAAGGACTTTAGTGTTCCCCAGGGCTTGGCAGAGCCTGTTTCTCTCAGGCCCCACTGACACTTAAGGCCATGGACTTGAGGAAAGTAAGGTGGATCCAAGTGTAGAACAAATCACTACTGTGCTCCAGTCTGCTCTCTTCCCATATTTTTTTCCCTCTGGAGTGGGCCTAGTGACTCCTCACATATTTGGTCTTATCTCAAACCAGATAAGGCTTATGGCAAGGTGATGGGATTTCCTGACTTTCTGCAAAGAGGTCCCTCTTAGCTCTTTCCTCTTGTCCACCTCTCTTTCCAAGGTGCTGGCTCAAATTGATCCATGTACAGTGTGGTTCTCACCTTATCCAGAAACCTGCGTACAGGCTAGAAAACTACCTCAGTGTTGTGGTTCTGTCATCTCACAGTGGACTCAGTAGCAGCCTCCTTCTCTGTTCTGATTCCTCTCTGGAGGACCTGGTAGGCTGCAAGGCAGAGGATTTATTGAAAAAAGCCACCCTTAGATGTGGTGGTGGTGGTTGTTGGAGACAGATGCAGAAGATAGCAGTATCTAGAACAGCTGTCTTGAAAGAGTCCTATAAATCCTTAGATGTGGTGGTGGTGGTTGGAGACACTGCTATCTTCTGCATCTATCTAGAACAGCTGTCTTGAAAGAGTCCTATAAATGGAAGTTTCCAAAGCCAGTCAACAGGAGTTAGAGACCTCCTGGAGATACAGCCTGAATGACAGAGCTCAGGACTCAATTTGGCTATGCATGGGAATTCTGGATCCTCTTTTCTAGCTTGTTGAGTCCTT